CACAGAGACACACACAGACACACACAGAGACACACACAGACACACAGACACACACAGAGACACACACAGACACACACAGAGACACACACAGAGACACACACAGAGACAGGTAGACACACACAGAGACACACAGAGACACACACAGAGACACACACAGAGACACACATAGACACATAGAGACACACACAGAGACACACAGAGACACACAGAGACACAAACACAGACACACACACAGACACACAGAGACACACACAGAGAGAGGCAGTCACCAGCTTCCTGCAGTTTGACTCTAAGGCCTTTGTCTCCTCACAGAGACACACAGAGACACCCAGAGACACACACAGACACACACAGAGACACACAGAGACACACAGAGACACACACAGAGATACACACAGAGACAGAGATACACAGAGACAGACACAGAGACACACACAGAGACACCCAGAGACACACACAGACACACACAGACACACACAGAGGCACACAGAGACACATACACACAGAGACACACACAGAGACACACAGAGACAGAGGCAGTCACCAGCTTCCTGCAGTTTGACTCTAAGGCTTTTGTCTCCTCACAGACACACACAGAGACAGGTAGACACACAGAGACACACAGACACACACAGAGACACACAGAGACAGGTAGACACACACACACAGACACACAGAGAGAGGCAGTCACCAGCTTCCTGCAGTTTGACTCTCAGGCTTTTGTCTCCTCACAGAGACACTCAGAGACACACACAGAGACACAGACACACACAGAGACACACACAGAGACACACAGACAGACACAGACAGACAGAGACACACACAGAGACACACACAGACACACAGAGACACACAGAGACAGGTAGACACACACAGAGACACACACACAGAGAGAGGCAGTCACCAGCTTCCTGCAGCTTGACTCTAAGGCCTTTGTCTCCTCACAGAGACACACAGAGACACACACAGAGACACACACAGAGACACACAGAGACAGGTAGACACACACACACACACAGAGACACACACAGACACACAGACACACACAGACACACACAGAGACACACACAGAGAGAGGCAGTCACCAGCTTCCTGCAGTTTGACTCTCAGGCCTTTGTCTCCTCATAGAGACACACAGAGACACACACAGAGACACACACAGAGACACAGACACACACACACAGACACACACAGACACACACACACAGACACACACACAGACACACAGAGACACACACAGACACACACAGACACACACACAGACACACAGAGACACACACAGACACACAGACACACACAGACAGACAGACAGAGACACACACAGAGAGAGGCAGTCACCAGCTTCCTGCAGTTTGACTCTCAGGCCTTTGTCTCCTCACAGACACACACAGAGACACACAGACAGACAGAGACACACACAGAGACACACACACAGAGACACACAGAGACAGGTAGACACACAGACACACACACACAGACAGAGGCAGTCACCAGCTTCCTGCAGTTTGACTCTAAGGCCTTTGTCTCTTCACAGAGACACTCAGAGACACACAGACACACACAGAGACACACACAGACACACACAGAGACACACAGACACACACAGACACACACATAGACACACAGACACACACAGACACACACACAGAGACACACACAGAGACACACACAGACACACACAGACACAGCCAGACACACACACAGACACACACAGAGACACACACAGACACACACACAGAGACATCCAGAGACACACACAGACACACACAGAGACACACACAGACACACACAGAGACACACACAGACACACAGACACACAGACACACACAGAGACACACACAGACACACAGAGACACACACAGAGACACACACAGAGACAGGTAGACACACACAGAGACACACAGAGACACACACAGAGACACACACAGAGACACACATAGACACATAGAGACACACACAGAGACACACAGAGACACACAGAGACACAAACACAGACACACACACAGACACACAGAGACACACACAGAGAGAGGCAGTCACCAGCTTCCTGCAGTTTGACTCTAAGGCCTTTGTCTCCTCACAGAGACACACAGAGACACCCAGAGACACACACAGACACACACAGAGACACACAGAGACACACAGAGACACACACAGAGATACACACAGAGACAGAGATACACAGAGACAGACACAGAGACACACACAGAGACACCCAGAGACACACACAGACACACACAGACACACACAGAGGCACACAGAGACACATACACACAGAGACACACACAGAGACACACAGAGACAGAGGCAGTCACCAGCTTCCTGCAGTTTGACTCTAAGGCTTTTGTCTCCTCACAGACACACACAGAGACAGGTAGACACACAGAGACACACAGACACACACAGAGACACACAGAGACAGGTAGACACACACACACAGACACACAGAGAGAGGCAGTCACCAGCTTCCTGCAGTTTGACTCTCAGGCTTTTGTCTCCT